CCCTTCACGGCGGCGATGGAGGGCTTAGCCCTTCGCTCTCTCTCCACAACCACTGCATCCTTCCCCCGCCTTTCTCTCCTCCGCCGTCGATCTACGCCGCATTTCGTCTCTCTCTCCCCTCTCTCCACCGTCCGATCTCTCTCCCTCAAACCCGCTTCCATCTCCTCCTTCTCTCCCCTCCAACCCACTCCCCGTTTCTCCCCACGGGCCGCCGCGTCTCCCCAGAACGCTGCGGCTCCTCCGCCTTCGAAGCCCCCTTCTCCGCCGCCGCCTCAGGGGGCCAAGATCCTTCCCCTGATCCTCTCCGTCGCCGTTGGTATCATACTTCGGTTCGCGGTTCCTATACCGCAGGGTGTCACTCCACAAGGTTGGCAATTGCTCTCGATCTTCCTCTCCACCATCGCCGGTCTCGTCCTCAGCCCTCTTCCCGTCGGCGCGTGGGCTTTCATTGGCCTGACCACCTCGATCGTCACTCGGACTCTGCCGTTCGCCGCCGCGTTCTCGGCGTTCACAAGCGAGGTCATATGGCTGATCGTGATCTCGTTCTTCTTCGCTCGTGGGTTCGTCAAGACAGGGCTCGGAGACAGAATCGCCACCTACTTCGTGAAGTGGCTCGGTAAGAGCACACTTGGTCTGTCTTATGGGCTGACTCTCAGCGAGGCCCTGATCGCTCCGGCTATGCCCAGCACGACGGCGAGGGCCGGTGGCATTTTCTTGCCGATCATCAAGTCATTGTCGCTCTCGGCCGGGAGTAAACCAGGTGATTCCTCGTCGAGGAAATTGGGTTCGTACCTGATCCAGTCTCAGTTTCAGGTCGGTGCGGTTTATGCCACTGATTTGATCAGTTCAGTTGGTTTACTAAGTTACTGTCTTTAGTTACTTAGAATGTCGGAAGAAATCAGCTAGTCTGAACTGGAACTGATGGATTTGACTTGATATGCTAGCTCAGTGGAACAGAGTCTTGTCTTTTCCTCGCAGATGCGTCTGATGATATCTGAGAGACAGAGAGAGTGCAGTTAGCAGTTTGGTTGTGAGCTCTGTGTTTAGTTTTGTTTGTGTCCGGCACCTTGAAAGCTGAACAATGGGAAAGCACTGCTGTTAAGCTTTTGGAACATTGTTCTTGAGTGTTTGGTTTGATTCCGATCTTCAACCTGTCTGGTTTTTCCCTAACATTTTCATGTTCTGTTCCGATTCGTGACAGTGTGCCGGAAACTCCAGTGCCCTTTTCCTGACAGCTGCAGCTCAGAATTTGCTGTGCCTGAAATTGGCCGAGGAGCTCGGGGTAGTGCTCTCGAGCCCGTGGGTTTCTTGGTTTAAGGCAGCAAGTCTACCCGCAATTATATCGCTTCTATGCACTCCGCTAATCCTTTACATTCTTTACCCTCCCGAAACCAAAGATACGCCCGAGGCTCCCGCCATGGCTGCAAAGAAGCTCGAGCAGATGGGCCCTGTCACAAGAAACGAGTGGATCATGGTCGGCACTATGCTTCTCGCCGTCTCTCTCTGGGTTTTCGGGTATGTCTCAATATCCTTCAAATCTTCTACTTATACTGTTAGGGTACCCCATCGATAGTGTATCGCCCCAAAGTTTGCACCTTTTGGCATTTTAATAGTTTTTTATAAACATCATATGGTTGTTTTTGTAGGGAAGCGCTCGGGATACCGAGTGTGGTGACCGCCATGATCGGGCTATCCATACTTCTCCTTCTGGGCGTCCTCGAATGGGAGGATTGCCTGAACGAGAAATCGGCATGGGACACGCTGGCATGGTTTGCGGTATTGGTGGGGATGGCAGGACAGTTGACAAACCTCGGGGTAGTGACGTGGATGTCGGATTGCGTGGCCAATCTCCTCCAATCGCTATCCCTGGGCTGGCCTGCCGCTTTTGGCCTCCTCCAAGCCGCTTATTTCTTCATCCATTACCTATTTGCCAGCCAAACAGGCCATGTAGGAGCTCTCTACTCGGCTTTCCTCGCTATGCATTTGGCGGCCGGAGTCCCGGGCGTTCTCGCTGCTCTCGCTTTGGCTTATAACACCAATCTTTTCGGTGCCTTGACACATTACAGTAGTGGCCAAGCCGCTGTCTACTATGGAGGTTACTTGCCATGTTTTTCCTCTTCCCTTTTAACCTGTGTATTATTAACCAACAGTTCTGTTTTCTAACCGTGTGTTTTTCTCCTTCGGGCAGCGGGTTATATCGATCTGCCGGATGTGTTCAAGATGGGATTCGTGATGGCGGTGATGAACGCCGTCATCTGGGGAGTGGTCGGATCGTTCTGGTGGAAGTTTTTGGGTCTTTACTGAGATCGAGAGTACGAGCCGTACAGGTTGTAACCTTAACTCTTGAGAAATGCCATTGTCTTCAATCTCTGTTGATAGCATTTGGTCCGTCTTTTTTTTTTTCACTTTGGTCTTCTGGTTCCGCTTTTTGAATCTAAAGTCGATTTTCAAAAAATTTCAGCGGCCATGTAGTGCCACACCAAACCCAATATATATATATATTTTTAAAAAAGGTAAATACAAAGTCGCCACGGTAAAAACAAGTGAATAAATAACACTTTTTTTTTTAATCGCAATCAGATGAACATACAAAGTCTTCATGTGGTAAAAAAAAAAAAAAAGTGAACAAATAACACATTATTATTTTTTATCTCGATCAGATGAATAAACTCAAAACTTGTTATATAGATGTTAAATATCACAATCATAATAAAAATTAAGATACTGCTTTCAACTTTGTTTAATTTGCAAGCCAAAGAAATTCGTATAAATTTTACCATCAAGTAGTTATCCACCCGCGTTGAACTCGTGAGTCGTGCCAAATTTGAACTACCAAGAGCTTTAGTCGTGCAAGCATTAATTATTGTTTTTAGGGTTCCTCTTTTCATCTCATAGTTTGGGCTCTTATGTGTTATATACGCATGTATAGTACAGAGACGACAGAATGGCGAGACCTAATCAATCATTGGAAGCTTTTCTATGATACGATGAATAAGGATGAGAGAGTGTTTTAACTTCATCAAAATCAGAGAGAATCAACGAGAAAAGATCTGAGGTGCTTGAGAAACTCCTTGGGCTTCTCCAAATTCACTGCATGGCCCGCGTTCTTTATCACCACCAGCTCTGCGCTTTCTCCCACATGACTGCCATTAATGTCATCACCACAAAACAAAAAATTATTCCAATGACATGCGCATGCGCCGATTAATATGGTTACATTAGATTACGTACCGTTTTAATCTGTGGCCTAATTCCATAGGGAATATCTGGTCTTCTTCTCCCCATATGATCATCGTGGGCTGTTTCCACAGAGTGAAAAAGGTGCAGATACAGTGGCTTTGTATTCTTACCAAATGGATATAACGAAAAGCTTTTGTTTGAAGTAGTGCATGAGACCCCACGTCCATTAACGTGTATCTACACGGAGTATATATGTACGTATGTATGTATATATATATATACGTGGTTCGCATGTCATGCAGTCAAAAGATCATGCTATGCATAACAAGTACCAACCCGTGCTAAGAAAACTTGTTGGCATAATACCGTATAATTTCCATTGATAGACGAGAAGATACATAATAGGCAATCTTCGTATCTTACAATAATACTTCCTAACCTAACTGGAACTATTTATCAATCTAGGTGATAGTATTTATCAATCCCGATCTCTTGAAAGAGATGTGATTTGGCCGAAAGTTCGATGAATTTATAGATTATAAAAAAAAATGATTTATGTAAAACAAAAAGAGAGAACAAGATTTGGTGTAGAGAAGGTTACCTGGCTAATCTTGGGAAGATGGGACAGTTTACGATCCTTGAGTATCGCTCTGATCAATTCTCGTTTCTCCTCCACGAAGTCCGTACACATCACCTGCAAAAGTATGAAAACTAAAAAGTTCATTAACCACGAAGGATGAAGCAAGTTTAGATATAAAGCTACTGGTGAAGGGTTATGCTATATATAACTTGTCACACAAGAAACCATCGTTATCGTCCATTGCAGATTTCGTATGCATTCTTGCACATTACTTGTTGTTTGTGCCAATACAGTATGTATGTATGTATGTATGTATGTATGTATGTATGTATGTATGTACGTATGTCATTTGAAAATCTAGGGCACTGTGTGAAGGCAAACCCTAAGTTACTGGGCAATGCTAAAAGTCACAAATCAAAACAACTATGAAAGAGAGATGATGGCAAAAATGGCGGAGAACTCACCTCGATGAAATCCCAGAGGAAGAAAGAAGGAATTCCTTTGGCGGGCTTCACGAAAGAGAACCGAATCAGCTCCCTGAGCTTCTCCGGCGTCTGAGGAAGAAGAATACTCGTCGCCTCCTCCAGATTCGGAACCCTAAAAAGCCCATCCGCCATATCCTTTTCCTCCAGGCAAACTCCGGCGCAGCACAGCGCCAACCTCTCCACCTTCTCCGGGAACTGCGCCGCCGCACTGTACCCGACGAAGCCGCCGTAGCTGATCCCGACGACGCTCATCCTCTGAACCCCGTGCGCCTCCATGAGCCGAATCAGGCAACGGGCCTGGAACGACTCCGAGCGATCGGGCTCGGACGTGGACGACGATCCGAAGAAGAGGAGATCGGGGACGTAGACGTTGAACCGGGCGGTGAACGAGCGGAGATGCTCGCCGTATTGCCACATGGCGTTGGCGCCGAAGCCATGGATGAGGAGGAGATTAGGTTTGGAAGGAATGGGGGATTTAGGGATCCAGCAGTGGATGACGGTGGAGGAGGAGCCGCCATGGGAGAGGTCGGTAGTGACGGAACGGAGGGCGGGGGGCGCGAATGATTGCCGGAAGAACCAATCGCGGTACGCCGTGAAGCTGAAGTACCGCCATAGCTTCCTAGGATCAAACATTTTTTTCCTCTCTTTTTTTTTTTGGGTTGAAACAACAAACGTGAAGTAATGTAATTGTTGAAACCCTGAATTAGGAGACCGTAAGAAACTGCTTCTCTCTCTCTCTCTATATATATACACACATACGTGTATCTCCATATATATATATATATACATTCCGATGTATTGGGAGAAGAGGATTGCCGGAAGAACCAATCGCGGTACGCCGTGAAGCTGAAGTACCGCCATAGCTTCCTAGGATCAAACATTTTTTTCCTCTCTTTTTTTTTTTGGGTTGAAACAACAAACGTGAAGTAATGTAATTGTTGAAACCCTGAATTAGGAGACCGTAAGAAACTGCTTCTCTCTCTCTCTCTATATATATACACACATACGTGTATCTCCATATATATATATATATACATTCCGATGTATTGGGAGAAGAGAGAAAAGAGTAGTAAATCTGATTCCAAGTCTATTATTGATTGAAAATCTGCACTCAAAACAATGGGAAATCAAAGCTACTGAAAGCTTTGAATAGTAATAACTCTTAAACACCTTTTCCCTAAAATGTTTCATAAAAAAAATGGTCAAACATTCCAAAGAGAGTCAAATCCTCCGTATCAGTTGAACCTCATTCAATGTGAATAGATCTCCAAAATCAATGAGAGAGAGAGAGAGAGAGAGAGAGAGTCAGTGAAATCCTGGACACTTCCGTACAAAACATGACACAGAACACACGTGAGATTGGACGTGCTCATCTTTCAGACAATAGTTTTGGGTTCTCTTCACATGTTGGGGGACTTGTATTTCATATGCAAAATCCAGCACATGAGCTATTTATTATACGAAGACAGACCCAAAACCCAAAAGATTCATTACAACAACTGCTGTGAAGGTACTCTTGCCTTCCAAAGACATTGCATTTTTTTTATTATTATTGTTATGTAAACATCAAAGAAAAGAATCTCTTTTGAACTTTTAAATAGTCCTAGAACCATGAGATGAAATCATCCATTCATATGCAGAAGCCCATTTCCATTACCTACTCATGAAATCAACAGAGTAACATTTGTCTGTTTGTATACTAAACGCTTTACCACCCTCCTCCTCCCTAGTAAAGGACAACCCTAATCCATACTACTAAATAGAATCGTCTTCGTTTTAGCTACGGCGGTCGTAGTATTTACAGATACATAAAAACAGTTAGGAACCATGAGATGATGATGATGATGATGATGATGAATGAATCCAGATGATACCTATGTACGTATGGGTCAGTTGCACCACAAAACCAAAGCCTCTGTCTCTAGGAGGAGGGATCTCTCACTCAAATGCAATCGACATGAAAGTGTCATCATCCAATAGTGAATCGATGTCAAGAAGATCATCATCAGTATTTGCTGCTGCTGCTGCTTCTTCTTCTGCAGTGTTTGCACCACCTGAGCTTGAGGCCTGCTCACCAAAATCACAATTTAAGTCGTGAAGCATATGCCATTTATGCAGACATGCATGTATGGATGTATGTATTTATGTCTGTATGTGTATGGATGTATGTAGCACTTGCATATAAATATATATATAACAGTGTTATATACCTCGGATTCACGGAAACCCTCAACCACAGTCAACAGCCTACGGTACTGAGCCCGTGCTTCTGGATATTGAACCATGGACTTCACCCTCGTGAGAGCTTTTTGCAACCTTTCCTCAGTTTGTTTTCTTCCCTCCTTGAGAAAATCGTAATCATCATCTTCTTTCTCCTGCGGAGGAACAGGTGTTTCAGGTTTTGCCTGTTTGGCAATTGCATCACGTCTAAATCCACGTAGACCACTGCCCTTTCGCCTCCACCGCAAAATAACTTTCTCAAGTATCCCCACTGACCAAATGACCGTTCGGTATTGTTTCCGAACCTGATGCCCTCTCACGTGAGCCTACACATCATTAATTAATAAAAATTCAGAAAAATTTGATATTCAACCAACATTCTAGTGCCAGTAGTAGTTAAAAAGTAAATGAGCACATCAAATATCAGCATACGCTCATGCTTTCAAGTGAAACAAAACAGAGGTATACTGAGTCACTTCCATGAAAAGCGCACCTGGATCTTGACAATTCTTTGTCGGATCAAGAGAAATTCTTTCCTCTTCTTCCAACCACGATACTTTTTCTGGATATTAACAGCAGCAGCATGGACAACACCGTCATTGAGTCCTGGCTTCCCAGTTTTGGCAGTTGCAAAAGAAACAGCCAGTTCATCGGATATGTCTGACTCTTCATTTCCAAATTGGGACAGCTGTTTCCGCTGGAACGACTGCATCCTGAAAACTTGATGTATGCGATCAGCTGCTTGTGTAGCATTGCAGACTGCAGTAAGTGAATCCTTCAAGGATAGCGCTTCCGGTACGTCACCATAACTCATAGGAGTGGCCGTTCGCTCAGAGATAGTTTGAACAACTTTTGCTCCTGAGGAGTTAGCAGAGCTGTTTTCCTTGGATTCATTCATTGCTAGCTTTTCAAGATAACTAGTGAGGGAAGACTCTGCAAGAAAACCTGAAATTCCCTTGTGCCCATTTCCAGAAGCCAAATCCGCAGCTGTTTTACCCAAAGGAAATTCTGGTGACGGGTCAGTTAAAGCCCCAGCATCGGCACCCAGAGAGACAAGTACAGCGACAGTTTGCTCCCTGAAGTTAACAGCACCAAGAAAGTCAGTTTCAAACAGAGAAGTGGACCAGCTAACAAAATTCAAGCCCAGTGAGATCAAGCTCAAAGCATAAAAAAGTTTTAAAAAATCCAAGAAAATGAATCTTTATATTCAAATTAATTGAAAGGATGAGACTGAAGTCCTTACCTGCCACTAAATGCAGCCCAGTGAAGGGCTGTCCATCCATTTGCATCACGGAAATTAATGCTAACTCCTGCTGCTAAAATTGGTTTTATCACCCAATCATAGCCGAGGGCAGCAGCAAAGTGTAGAACACCCTGCCCCCCTTCATCCAGTATATTTGGACCCTTAACATCTTCAGTCACTTTATGGATGAGCCACGTGTATAATTTCTCTTCAAACAAGTCCCTGATAACGTGCCCTTTTGCTTCTTGTTCAATTGAATCTTTCTGGTTTGTCCCCGGGAAGAAAGACTCTCTTTCATCCTTCAGCAACATGATTTTACTGATGTGTTTTCGTTTATCCCCAACGTCTTCGAATATGTGACGTTCAATTACAGGAGATCTGTAAGCCAGCAGCCTCTCAAACCGCATATAAAGTGATGCTTCAATTGTAGATGTGCCATAAACATCAGAAACATTAAGGTTTTTGGTAGAACCAGGGAGGAAATCAAATTCTCGAACTTCACTACAAGCAAACCTGTCCGAACACGTAATGTAAAATGAAACTTGACCAACAGTGTGCGGGGGAGCATGACAACAAAGTACACCATCTACTAGAATCTCAGCTGGAACCTCCACTTCCCCAAACATGCATGACCAGTTATATTTAGTTACCTCTTGCTTATTCATCAGAAACGTCCCAATAACCATAACCTGTAGGACAGATAGGATGATAGGTAAGAATAGAGTTAACCTGTCAGATAAATAGGATGATAGGTAAGAAGAGAGTTATCTCTTAATCAGTACAAATAGTGAAACCACTGAAAACCAAGAACTAAAAGAAAAAATCAGCCAGGGTGAGATTAGAAGAAAAAAAATGAAACTCAGCAACCAAAACTTAGCAGGCCTATTGAGCAATTTTGCATAAAGAAAGAAGTGTCTTAACGGGGAGGTCTGCCATATGACCATTTTTTTCAAAGCATTAATCTGCTACATTACCTCAACTTCTGAGTCTGTGTGCCCCCATTTAGGCCAGAAATCAATTATGGTGAAGCGCTGATCCTGGGAGAGAGAAGGGCTCAAACAGGACCCAGCTGCTGCAGTTTCACATTCAACAGTAGTCCATGCAATGCCTCCAGATGACGATGGCTGCATCTGCAGATCCTCCATCTCACCAAGTTCTTTACTAGCCCATCGAGAGAAACTGTCAACCTTTTTCAAACTATCCTCTTTACTCAAAAATGGTTTTCTAGGTAACATCAGGCTTGTGCTTGTTTCATATTGTAGAGCATCAGGGTTTAATTTGGGTGTATATTCAGATTCTACACTTGGAAGAGGAAAGTGAACACCATTCCCAAGAGACTGTTGACTTCGAATATTAAGAAGGCTGGAAAATGTCTCAAAATTATCATGTGCTCCTTGCTCGAATACCGTCAGATCAGTATCATCACCCATTCCAGTTTGTGAAACCAGGTCTATAGGCCAATTTGGCAATGGTAAATTGTCCTGAACAGGAATCTGCAGAGAAAGAACCTCAAGCCCAGAGAATTAATAATAAATATTCTTAGTGCGAGCTTACATAGGTCAGTAGCCAAACTACAGAGAGAAAGGAGCCGTTAACCAATACACGCATAAGAACCTGATTTCAAATGTCATTTGCCTATAACATAAAGTTCAGATAAACAGCATCAGGTATATAGCATGTACCTTTTCTCCAAGCACACAACTGCAACTACATTTATCTTTAACCATTTACCTTATATGAATCCTGCTATATTTTTGTCTATGTGCATGATCAAAATATCCTGCACCATATTTATGATGTGTAGTGACTTCCTAAACAATAAAATTCTGGATCCTCTCTCTCTCCTCTCCAAATTTTCTACAACTTTGTAAATCTCTAATCATCTACAGGCACTGCTTTTTTTATATTATCATTTACAATATCTACTAGGAGGTAACTTGATATGAATACATCTTTGTACAATACCTGCCAGTTCACTTGGTTTTGAAGAGGATTTCTGAGGAGTTCCTTGCTGCCATTGTCTGCCGCAAACAGTTCACCCTTACCAGCATTTTCTACACCATGCACATGCAGCAATTCAGTTGTAGAAGGTGGCAACTGAGTTACCAGGTCATTAAAAGGTAGATTATGATGTCTGGCCGTAGAATCCTCAAAGGCAGCACCCCAGGCTGAAACGTCGCCAGATCTCTGGGAATCACTTTCTCTGACACTGTTCCCATAAAAGGGAGAGACAGTTCCCATGCCAGCAGCCGATGTCCAACCCTCGCGAGTTCCTAGAAAAGAAAACAAAAGACATTCGCACCATACAGAAGTTTGGCAAAGGAAGAGAGTAAACAATAGAGTACAAAACATAAAGTAAACAGAGTACCTGAAAAAGAACCCATATAATAAGAATTTGATGTACCGGCATCCGGTGTATCCCTTATCTGAGTAGTAGTAATTTTCGGATCCTGAAAAGCTTGCAAACTAGAACTTGCTTGATGACTGTCCCCTGTATAAAAAGAGATACAACTTTCGTATTGAAAATTACACGCATAACCAAGACTAGGTAATGTTTATAGGCATTTTAAACATCAAGTCAGAATAAAGTAGGTTAAACAACAGTTTCCTAATAAGGTTTAGGCCCTAACTCCACCACAAAAGCTAGCTTAAGAGTGGAGGTTTGACCCTTACTTATATATTGGCCCAAATCCCTCTCATTTTCCAATGTGGGACACTTATCAATACCGCCCCCTTTAGACAGCGACGTCCACGGCGCTGGGGCAAATCTGGTCGCTGGCGGCTTCCCATTAATAAGGTTTAGGCCCTAACTCCACCACAAAAGCTACCTTAAGAGTGGAGGTTTGACCCTTACTTATATATTGGCCCAAATCCCTCTCATTTTCCAATGCGGGACACTTATCATTCCCCCCCCCCCCCACACACACACACAACCAGCACTAAACAATCACCAAAACCATTGCACACAAGATAAAGGAATGATACCAGAATCAGCATCTTCACATAATGATGACAAAGTACTGGTCGGACTTGCTGTTGAATCAATATTCACCGATGTGGTGCCATTTATGGAATTTGAATTATTTTCTTTCATTCCTCCAGAACTAGTCCGGTTACCCTGATGGTTACAATATGAGATACAACGACATAAGGCGCAGCATACAATGAACTTGAGAAAATAGGCACCATAGGATGGTGACGACATGTGTTAAAACTAAAAAGGGAGAAGGTAATGTTGAATAATGGAATTTATTATCTAACAAATGCATCTAGAAACAATACAGACAAGAAAACATTATACCTTAACCTCCAAGTAGTGAACAAAAACAATATGCATAAAGTCCCTGTAATGACACAGATCAGACAAAATAAAAGCGAGGTTGTGAATATCAGCACCAAACTGGAAAAATTGACTTTAGAGAAAATTATTTTTCTACTTGAATTCATCTAAAGCAAATAACTTGAGATTTGCCTACTACGTCTTGATAATTCACATTGTAATTTTAGAAGGAAACTATTGTGTGACATTTTTTTTTCAGGATTCCTATACTCATGTTCAGCTCAATTTAATAGCATCGCCATTTACAGGATAGATTTCCACACACATACACACCAGAGGGAGTTGGGTTGGGTGATAAAAGAAGATAAAGGCAGTGGGAGCACAGTCAAGGAAACAAAAGCATTTGAAAGCCGGAATTGCTGATAGATTCAACAGAAACTGAAATGCCGAAAAATTCAGAATTTCAGTCTCAGACTCACTGCTCAAGCATCCAGTAGCAACGCCTCTGGAAATTCTCATTGTCTTCCCCATGTGCGTAGTAACAGTGTAGCACATCAACACTTCCCACCTATATACACTTGAAAAATGTTACTTTTAACAATTTAGATACATCTTCACTCATAAGTTCATTGATAAAAACAAATAGGTTTGACAACCGTGAATTATCATCATGTGTGTCTGATCTGAATTGTCGAGGAGACTTAACCGGAAATACTAACCTTCAACTTCTCATGAGCTTCTTTGATCGTCTTTCCATCCTTTTTCTTCCTCCAGTTGTGACCATCTTTTCTGAAGTATCTGAGAACCTTCCTATCAAAAAGAAAAAGCGAACCACCTAGAGGGTGGGAAGCTCGTGTCAATTTACAGAATAAAATAGCAATGTTACTTCATTTGAATCTTTTAAACAGGATAAATACGATAGATACGGTGGTACAAGTATAATTTATATCCAGAACAAACAGACAAGCCCATGGAGAATAGAATCTAAGTACAAAATCAAACTCTAATGCATGAGGAAATCTAAACCTTGTAATCTTTTTCTTTAATGCAAGCCAAAAATAAAACCTAAGATAACATGTAGACTGTCCACAACCCCAGACATAAGTTAATCAGGCAACCAAAACAGAGAAAAAGCAGTAACAGACGTACTAGGTGGTCGGTTGGGAGGCTCAGACGCAATATGAAACTTCTGATAGTTCCGAAGAATTTCACAAATCTCGGCAGGCCTCAGCCACCGGTGTTGAGCTTCAGATAGCAATTGTCCTATATCTGCAAATGCGTTAAAAAGGGAGAAAACACGATTTCTTAACGTTCCTAGATCCGAAGAAAGCACGAAAGTGAAAACGCCAGTACCACTAGCACGAAAAAATATCTATATCCCCAATTCACGCTATCACGGAAACAACGAATCCAGAAATGCCTTTTGACTCGGAAACAAAGTGCCAAGAAAAGAAATTTCTGGGTAAATCCTTTATTTCCTAGCAATTAGATCAAAGCGAACAAAATGAAACCCAGAATTACGAAAAACAATACGACTAACACCCATTCTCTAATGAAGTGGCAGGAACCAAGTCTCCCTCCAGTAAGAGGACAAGCGCTCACTCCTTCCCTCCCAAATGTAAGAGCCCAAAAAATCCAGAGCAGATCGGGGAAATCAAAAGATTCGGAAGAAAAAAGAAATCCTAAACAGAGAAAGAGAGGGTAAAAGAAGAAACCTAATCGGGGACCGAAACCAAAAGATCCGCGATCTGCCATGGATCCACCAGAGATCTCGAGCTGAAAGAGAAGCAACGAACCCTACAGATTGAAGCCCTAATTGATCTATACGCATGAAAGTGAGAGAAGCTTTTATGGTGTCTTCCTCTCGAGCTTTCAAGTGTGAAAGCGAAGCGTTTTTTCTTCTCTCTGATTTTTTTTTTTTTTAAATCTTTTCTTATGGAGCCTCT